CCAGTACGTTCCGATTGGCTTTAGCGTTTGAGTGCGCCGTTTCAAGCTAAGTGCAAAAATTGGCATTTCCTCACTCATAGACACGTTAGTTAAACTGACGTGAAAACCGTGGGCTGTTGTGCGCCTGGCATTGCGTGCGTGAGTCTTGCAGCATGTGAACGTTGTCCGTTGACTATTACTTAATTGTAGATCTCCAGCTCCTATGGTGATTTTGTCAACTTGATAAAACTACTAGTCAGCAGCAAGTTCTGTAATTAAATTTTAGTATTTTAAAGTATCTTTTAAAATCTTTAGCCTCAGGGATCAGAAGAGGCCAAAGCATTTGTAAATGCCTTCCTGAAGCGTAGTATGCCAAAAAAGACAGATGAAGCTATCCACGATATATTAACTCGGAAGGCTGTAGTTCTTGAGCATTATTCCAAAAAACAGAGGAAGCAAAAGAGGAAAAAACCGAAAGGTTTTACTGCCAAGCAAAGGCGAGAAATGCGTCTTTTTGAAATTGAACCCGAACAACAAAGGTAAGATCTTAAATGTTTTCTTTGTGTAGTAAAAGTGAGAAGTACATAAAAGCAGCAGCGCATATACATGTATACTAACTCTTCAGTATGTAATGTCAGTCTGAGACTCTTGTTTGTGGCATTTCACCATGAGAAAACAGTTCTCTTGTCTGTATAGTTGGAAGAGTAATTTTGGTTTGTTACTGGTTCTCTTTCCTCTTGTATACATATATATAAATATAACAAGAAATCAAACCCAAATAGAATCAGCTCTGATTTAGTTTTTGAAGTTAGACTGTCTGTGACCAGGGAGTCAAAATTCTGCATCGGATTCCTCAAACTTGTTGAATAAAGCCCCTGCTGTTGCTAACATGAAGTGGGGAGGTAAAAGAGTAGAAAAATCTCTTTGGTCTTAGAGGTAGCCTGATCCTCTAAAACACATCACCATTTTGGGCTGATAGAGAGGAGCATACTTAGTTTGTGCTCTTTTTATAAAGCAAACCTGTTGTTTGGAGTGGGTTACCTCAGAGGTTAAGTTATGAGAGCAGATTACAAAACTTATAAATGTTAGTCTGAACTCTGTTGTTACTATGGATTACTTCAGTAATCAACCAATAGATTTATTTTTTTTTTATAACTAATTTCTTGTATAATACTTTTTGTCTCTTTACTGCAGATACAGTATCTTTCTACCACTACATGAACTCTGGAAACAGTATATCAGAGACCTATGTCATGGACTTAAACCAGACACGTAAGTTGAGGTATTTTAAAATTAGTGTGGCTTTGATTTAGTAGATACTTTGAGGTTTACTGAGATATTACTTGAAACATCATAGTTACTTGATAAGGCTATGTACTATTTCTGTAAGCTTTGATCATGATTTCAGTAGTCATGGTCACACTTTGTAAACCTAACTTTCCATATAATTTTCTTTCCCTCTTCTTCAAGGCAACCACATATGGTTCAGGGCAAACTGCTAAAAGCTGATCTCCATGGAGCTATTGTTACAGGTATTCTGATTGTTTTCTTTTACAAAATCATCTGAAGTTAAGTAGACATGCCTATATTTCAGGTGCTTATTTTTAAATTCCTTTCAGTATCATTAAATCTAGAATCACATAGCTGAGATCATATGTTGATGGATTCTTTCTTTACTTAGCAATGCTAATTACTTTTCAACTGCTCTTGAAAATGTTAGTTGCAAAGGTTAACTGAAAGTTTTACCAGTGATTACTGTGATTGCATTATCTCAGAATACTGCAAACCAGTTTTTAAAATCATGAGGCGACTGCAGAAGAACAAATAAGCTGCCTGCATCTGAAACTTTCTAACACATATATACTTCTGTTCTTTCAGTCACAAAATCAAAGTGCCCCTCTTATGTTGGGATAACAGGAATCATTCTACAGGAATTTAAACACGTCTTCAAAATTATCACTAAAGATGACAAATTAAAAGGTATAAGACAATTTTTTCAGTGCTTTTCACAACTTGAATAATCAGAAATTTCTTAAACGCACTATTCATCTTACACCTCCAAGTACATTGTTTTATATCAGTGCTTTTAGTTCCTTGCATAGAGTGGCAGAAGTCCAGTGTCTTTACTGACCACATAACAGCGCAATATCTTACCAAAAAAGTCTCTCATTAGAAGTGATCAATTTAAAAAAGTATTTCCAATAAATCCAACATGATTATGCACACAGCTCATTCATCTGATTCAAATTAGATGCTCTCTGCAACACTTGCTGCATGCACCTGAAAGAGGACTAACTTCAGTAATTCCAGTTTAAAATTTAGAGCGTTTGGTTATTTTTCTTCTCTTGTTAAAGCATAAAAACCTTGAAATGTGGCAAACATCAAGTCTACTGATGAATCACATTCCCTGGTACATCAGTATATTTTCTGAACAGGGATTTACATTAGTCCATTTTTGTTAATTTCTCTCCTTTTTGCATTTTCAGTTGTTCCCAAACTTAACAGTGTATTTAGCTTGGAAATTGATGGATTCATTTCCTACATCTATGGAAGCAAGTTCCAGCTTAGAGCAAGTGAGCGATCTGCAAAAAAATTCAAGTTGAAAGGAACTATTGACCTATGATTTCATGGAAAATCAGAAGTATTAATAGAAATGTCTGCTGTTTTCCTGCAAATTGAAAAATTGAATAGCTATGTGAAATATTTCTAAAGCATTTCTTCTTACTGAAGAATGACTAATATCTGTTGTCTTTTAAAGCAGTCTCTGACTGTTGAAGTTTGTATGTATTTTGTTATATACAAATAACATCTGGCTTTTATTAAACTCATATGATTAGTATTGATTACCTGACTTGTTTCAATTTATGATTATAAATTTGTACAATGAAAATTTTATCTTGTAACTCTGATAAATGTTATTGTTGCCTTCTGTATAAATTGGGCTTTATCTGCCTACTATTAGTCTTACAATGAGACTGTAGGTGATGACAGCTGCTCTTTTATAATCATAAACATCTTTGCCTGGTTCAAGCATATGCAAGTAAGTTGTTTCATCTGACAGGTTTTACCTTAAATATCTCCTTCCCTGTGGTAAATATTATTACAGATAACATATATTTCAACTTGCGTACAAGCATACTAAACATGTAATGCAGCCATGGAAGCTGTTTGCTTATCAGGTGCTTACTAGTAACACTACTTTAAGCTTAAATCAGGTATGTCTATATTAGTAAATAAATACTATCTTGGCAGAGTGCAGGGAATACAACACATTGGATAAGAGGGAGGCACCTGAAGCTAGAAATTCAAAGATGGAAGTGACACCCATTCAATCTTGTACTTCAATTACCCACAAAATTGCTTTATGAATATTTAACCTCTAGTCTTAGAGCTTTACTCTAGCCTATTTTTATATATATTTAGACATGGTGTCTATGCTATACATTTTAAAAATACTTTTATTTAAATATATATACAATTT